CGTATACTATCATTTGATAAAAGTGATATAGTACTTTTTTCCTTATTTAGTTTTCATAAGCTTTCAATCATAAACAAAAATGTGAATTAATTTCATAAATTCAGTATTTCTTTCAATATTTAGAAAGACTTGTTTTTTCAATTTGACTTCACACAATCGTTACACTTGTGATCATTTTTAAATATATTTTTGTTTGGTTATTTGGTAATACATTATTCGTATTTAATTTACACATCTTTATCTTAGAATATTCAATTAATCGAATGACTCAACTTTATTCTACTGCTTATCGATTTGGTGTCAAACCATACATTCATTTTGAAAAGTCAATTTAAGAGATAACCTCAACCACGGAATTTCGTATATTTTTCCCTTATCATCGATTGGCCTAGGCCTTAGGTCCATGAGAAGGAGAGCAAGTTATATTTTATATTGTTCACATAATCTATTGATTTGTGCAGATGATATGTAATTTGCAATATATATAGAATAGAATGAAGTCAAAAATTATAGCTACCTCGTTTATATCAAAAGATAGATTTAATACTCATTAGACTAAGTGTGTGTCCAAGCCGAACTTAGGGTTTTAATTTACATAATAGAATCAAAGTAATACTTGCAATGAATCTGCATGAACGATTATGTGCAATGTTAATGTTGAATAAAACTAGCATAATGTAAATTTTAGTCTAAGAAAGCAATTAATCAAAGTCTAATGAGCGAGTGTGGTGATGGATCAAGTAATGCGAACATTAGTGCATGAAATGTGAGTGAATGAAGTTTGCGGGGTGTTATGAGAAGTGGGAGTGCATGATCTATATATGTAATATTTTATACCTCCCTTTAATCAGGATTAATTTAGATGACTAAGCAAGCCGACAAGTTAATTGAGTGGATCCCATATGATGTAATATTTTTTAAAAAAGTTGGGAGCATAGTGTCAACCGGATCCACTAGTTTGTTTGGTTGGACTATCATGTCTCTCTTTTGGATGGATTTGGAACAGCCAGTGGGGTTGTCATGGCTAATGGGTGGATTTTTGGTTGTCTGGTAATGGTCCAGATTAAAATTCGGGTTTTGGAATATTATTGGGCCAACATTAGTCCAAAGGTGACGATTTGGGCTTCCGGCCAAAAGTAAAAATTCAAGCTTTTTCGTTGGGCCGGTAATTATGAGGGTTGGATCCAAAATCACTGAGTCTACTCCAAATTGGGTCAAACAAAGTGATCGAGCCTGGACTACACAATGGTAAGGAGATCCATCCCAAGCCTCACATTAATAACGTGGGAATCCGCAGTCGCTACCCGAAAGTGCGCACTGGGTAAACCCACCGAACCTAATACCCTGCAAACTAGGCCCGATAAGGCAAGTCACACTAGGCGAACCATGCATGACAGGTGGACCTGGAGGTGTCGAGGTTTGAACCCATGACCTCACGGTCCAAGTTCGCTCCCCACACCACCAGGTCATCCCTTACGGGACTATTTTTATGGTAGTTTTAGTTTTACTAGATATAGTTTATATTTCTATTATGGTTTTATTTAGCTTCTAATTCCTTGTATATGGCCTTGTATCTATATTGTTACTTGTGATTAATATCTTGTGTTGCCGAGTGTTTCTCGCAGGTTTTCATCTAATAAAATAACAAAAACAAGTTATACTCACCCTCAATGTTTTTATATATATATATATTTATACATATATAATCTTATATACTTCCTCCACTAAAAATTATGCTTAAACTAATAATACAAAAAATAAAATAAAATAAAATAAGCATAAATTTAGGTGTCAGGAGAATTATCATATATACTACGCTTCATTTACCGTGTTAATTTGACTCAATCAACAAATATTTATAAAGGAAGTAGCACATATCAATATAATTGTTGTTGTGAAAATTCCAACAATAAAAGTAAAATTCGAAAATATATTTTGAACTTTTATGGTTCATGCCTGAGATTTAATATCCCTAAGTGCGAGGCCTAATTATGGTGAATGAAAATATAAAATGAAGACTGAATGCAAATTTGATCCCTTGTGAGATTTTTGAATCTTATGTGTCCTTATGTCCGCTGGGAGACTCTCTATATACTAGACAATTGAACCGTTGTTGAATTGCTCTTGATGGGTTACTAAAATCGTGCACCATCTGATGGTAGTTCTTGGCATCGTGGTCTCTCCGTTGGGGCAGTTACAATTGTTTTGGTCGGCCACTTCTTAGCATAGTTAGCATTCAGTTGTCAATTATATAGAGTTTCTTTCTTTGGCCACTAGTATTGTCTTCTGGTCGGCCTCTTTAACCCCTATAGGTTTGGCTTGATGGACTCCAAATTGGCCCAACCCCGGGACCACCTAGCTGGGCTGCACAGAAAATTTTGAATTTTGTAGGGATTAACAATAATATATAGTAAATTATATAATTACATGTGGTAAAATATAATTCTAATTTCAATACAATTTATTCTAACTCAATCAGCAAATATTCATAAAGAAAGCAGCATATTTTAATATAATATGTGGAAAATATTTTAATAGAAAATTAGATAATTATATGTAGCAAAATATTATTCTAATTTTAGCCCAATATATTCTAACTATAGCACCATAATACAAAAAACAAATTATACAACACATTACAATATATAACCAATATAACAAGTGTTAATTAATACAATATATTACATAGCATATTATATAATTATATGTAGCACAATATATGTTGATTTCAACATGAAATATAACTCACACAACACATTTTTATATAACACAATTTATGTTATTTGTTTGGTGATGAATTGCTAATTGTTTAAGTTAATGTGCTAATTTTGTAATGTATTATATATCTTCTGATAATATTCTAATTATATTTCAAATTAAGTTGATAATTTGATCAAAATCAGTACTGTGGCAGCACCCTAAATGCTTTGATACACTATATATAGCACTACCTATTCATCTATACCTTATCGATTCTAATAATATTCTAATTATATTTCAAGTTAAGTTGAGTTAAGTTGGTAATTTGATCAAAATCAGTACTGTGACAGCACCCTAAACGCTCCGATACAATATATATATATATATATAGCACTATATACCTTATCGATTTTACATATTTACATACATTGGGTGTGTTTACTTTTAAATATTATGATACGGATAATATTATATTATCAAATATAATCACATATTTAACATGTTTTAATTAAAATCCAGTATCTATTAAAGTTTGTTATAATAATACACTGCTTAAGAATAACTAATATATTCTACCTACATAAATTAGACTAATTTATCTCAAGTAATATTTGTATTAAAGTTTATACATAATTTATCATAAATTTTTAAATATTAATTCTAAAACTTTATTAGTTAAATTATTTTAAATAATGTTTTTATCGATGCATTTACTTATATTTTTATCGTCTATTAAAATATCAAGTTTAAAATAGTTTTAAAAAATTGAAAATATTTTAAATCAAAAATAAAATTATTAACGTATACATTTTTTTTTCACAAAATATTATATCAAGATAATATTTAAACAAAAATTCAAATAATATTGAATTTCAAATCAATTTTAAACTACAATTAAATAATTTCAATTTGTTAGTAAGTAGATATATATTAGGACCGATTTCAATCAATTTAGATTTCTAATCTATTAAAGTAAATATTTGAGTATCTTGGATGAAATAATACTATTATACATTTTAATCACCCAAAATAAACATACTCTATATACATTATTTAAACATAATCTATATACATTATTTATAGGTTGGGGCTACATTGTTAAATATAAAATTCAGCATTGTTTTGAACAGCACCAAATATACAAATAAACAATACATGATATTATTATTGGTGCCACCCATTTATATTAATATAATGCAAATACAACATATGATATAGTTTTACACAACACATGCAGCAATTCATTTTAGGATATGACATACTCTCTTATACATACACACAGAACATGTTGTGTGTAATAAAGATATATATTATTTATATATGTTATATGTGTTGATTTGGAAAATCAGCAATATCAACACTATAACCCTTCTCTTATTTACATGTTGGGTTACAATTTCAGGAAAAATACATTATTATCTTACAAATTATCACATCAATATATAATTTAAATCAAAAACTCAATTTCAAATCAAAACCATAAACCCATAATTTATACTCCCTTCGTCCCATATCAAACAGGTCATTTGGAGTTTTGTATTAGATTAATAAATAATAGTATTTTATTGATTAGTGGAAGTATACAAGAGATTTTAATATTTTTGTTCTTTTACTCTATGTAAAAAGTAATTGTACGTGTAATGATACATTTGTAATTTAAGTAAAAATTAAAGGTATTTAGATATTAGTGTATTACTGGAAAAAAAAATAGATACTTTTTAGTGGAGCGAACGAAAATGGTAAAAATGATATTTTGAATTAGAACGGAGAGAGTATAAAACTAACACTGTTGCAAAAATAATAGAAGATTAAAAAAAACACACAAAAACATCAAAATTTGGTGACCCATTTTGATCAAGATAATCTATGTTTGGGGTGGCCAAGCAAAATATTTGTACTAGTAATTTGATAGTGTTAAGTACAGATAAAATTCATCAAATATATATAGATGTCTAAGTCAAACTCTAGCACATTGAACTTCAAAAATAAGTCAAACAGTCAAAATCGACCATGCAACAAGTCAATACCGTTCAGAGCGTAAGGGATGGTCTGCTAGTGTGGGGGGTTAGACTTGTAACCGTGAAGTCATGAGTTCAAACCCGACGCCTCAGGTCACTTTGTCATATATGGTTCGACTAGTATAATTTATCTTGTCAAGCTTAATTTGCAAACTATTAAGTTCAACCGAAAGTTTATCTAGTGCGTACTTTCGGATAACTGCTCGTAATAATAATAATAATAATAATAATAATAATAAGAAACAAACAAACAAACAAAAGTATGATGTACTATTAGACATTATATTATGATGGTAATTTGATTTAATCAGTATGGCCCCTCCAATATAAGACATCTATTTGTCCCGTTAAATCTAAACTTTGTTTTGCAGCATTACGGATTTCAAATCTACAAATATTAGCTGTGAATTTAAAATCTATATTCAAACCACAGGAACCATTCGATTCAAGCCAGCGACATAATACATACAACACACAAACAAACAACACTAGTTTACAAGAAAACAACCGGAGGGAGAAGACCAAAATGAAATCAAGATTTCAGACACAACATTGGATCCATCCATCTGAATCTACAATCTACAATCGAAGAATGGTTCGGAGGGTGTCCGAGAGATTTTGGATGGTCTGCTGCTCCTGCACTGCTTGCATTTCCTGCAGGGGCATCTCTTCGTAACACCTACAAAACAACGAATTGAATTCACTAATATAAGATTGTCCAGTAGCAACAACTTGTTGGTGCCAAATATGAATGAATGAATGAATCAAGCTGGTTTTGGTACAACGCACATCTTGTGATACGCTAATGTCTGCGCTAGATTCATCAGAGTTGGGCTCGAATTAAGCCTCTGGCAAACGCTCGGTGGAAGGGGCACCTGTAATGAAAAAAAATTGTTCGACATAACCATAAAGATAACAAAAACTAGGCCGAGATTGAATGGGTTTGGTTTATGAAGATGAAAGATAAATGAAAACCTCGCTTTGTCTGCTGCTTCTACCCTTCTTAGGCTGAGCTTCTCCAGAGAACAGTTCTTGCATTGCTTCTACAGCTATGTTTCCGCCATCATCTTTGTGCCATCCGCTGAGCACGTTGTTGGACAAAAGGGCTATTGGGGATATGTCCGTTGCCCTCAGAAATGGGATCGGCACTGTGTTACCTGCAGTGTATATGGACCAAAGCTGGCCGCCAACACGGTGCAAATATAAAATGTGTCAAGAAAGAAGAGAAAAGACAAGAACTATGCCTGCCAATTGTCGTCTAATGATCAGAAAACAGTTATGAAATATGGGAATGCCACCTTGTCCAATGCCTTTCGACTGACAGTGTCGCTACCTACTGGAGTATCTGTCGAGCTGGGAACAGTGCCCATATTCTCTTGATCTTTTGCGGATTGATTTTTTGCAGGTAATTGCAATCCTGCAGGTTGCGTGCCGGCACTGGGACATAGACAAGTTATTGAACAAGTTAGGATATGATGAAACAATTTATAACAAATGACATTTAAAGAATGTCGAAGCCAAGAAGTTGTATCAAAATTAACAGATATGAGTTTGAGGGAAAGAGAAATGAATACACTGAGTCGATTGATATATCCCCAGGCAAGCTGATAGAAGCACTTCTAACTGGTCCAGGCGCAGAAGATGAATCATCTGTTTTTGATACTGGCAGACTAGATGTTTTAACAATTTCAACTCTGTCGTGAACTATAACTGTACTGAAATCCCCTGGTAAAGAAAATTCTGATCAGGGAAACTGGCATCAAATAAAATTTAAATCTCTAATCATAAAAGAAATAATCAACCCATATTCATATAGAAAATAATTGCTTCAACATTTCTCGTCACTGTTTTGGGTATACTCCAAACCATTTCCTTAAATCCATCAGTTTGTGCAGCAATGTAACCAAGGTTACCTTAGAAATTGGGAGCTGAATACGTACTGGTGAAATAGGATTAACAGTTGAAAAACTAGTAGTCATGCTTGCTGTGTTCACTACATGATATGGAATGAAAGCTAGTTTTATAATTCATATTTGGGCTAGTTATACCTATTAATTAATGCTTAATTCAATTACATGACTTTGTTCTGACAGATCCAATTGGTTGAAAATGTGCACGCCACTAATTTATGTATTGATTTAGGACTTCATACAGAAATCCGAAAAATCATCATAAATACAGGAAAAGCTAACAGTGTGAGAGACGTGGTGATAGATTACCATCAGTAGCAGCTTGTGTGCCATCAGGGGAAGGGGAAGCCTGCTTATCATTTATACTAACACGAACTGCCCGAGCAGTACTACCATCCTGAGGTCTAGATGGAACAGTGCGGACAATGGCTTCTGTAGTTTTCGAAGCTTCTGGAGGCTGCAAAAAAGAATAATAGGCATGAAATAAAATCACAGGGACAGCAAAGTCACCTTCAGCAATTATATGAAAAAGGTATGGAATTCGATCGTGGTAGCTGACAACTGAGCTCCCAAATTCACATGAAATATATATATATATATGTTAGTTCTACCAATTCTCTTGGAAGGGTAGTGTCTGATGCAACATCCCTAGCCTGCATGGCCCTGACATGCCTCGCCATCTCAATCTTCGGCAGCATTGCTGATGCGCCACTACGACATTTTTCAATGAATTTGTGCTATCCATGCAAATAGCAAAAAATATGCACAAGAATGATGAAAAAAGGATAAAGTTAATAACTTGGAATGCACACCCTTCGGTGTTCAAAAAGCATGGTGTTAAATTAGTGTAAAAGGGTGGATTAGATACCCGTAGCATCACACTATCACAAATACCTTCAGCATTTCAGCTGCTGTAGGCCGAAGTCTTGGGTCTTTCGTCAGGCATTTTGCAATGAAATCATGGAACACCAGTGACCTGCAATAAAAAGTGATCAATTTCCAGATGACAGTAGATATCATCAAACTAAACCAAAAAAAAAGAAAGACTACAATTTTAATTTCTCAAGCATTGTCGCAAAGACTACTAACGAAGTGAGGTAGTGGATTTTTATTATTCATATAACCAATAGTTTGCCAAAAATTGAAAATTAGACAATTGCAAACATGGGCGATCAAGAAAATATATAGTAAAAGGAAGAAAAGGAAACAACTATAATAATTTGTACAGGTCAACACTAATCATATTATGTATTCCACATATAACTCAATTTAGATAGATCTTTAGCTTTAAAAATGTCTCTTGCTAGAAAGGAATTTGGCTTCTTACAGGATATAGTACAAAATAGCAAAAGATACTGCTTTACAGGAGAATAGGCAGCAATTTACATATCCCATTAAGTAATCATCCACGACAAAACAATCAGAAATAGAAAATATATATATTAAAACCTAAAGATGGATTAAAAGACAAACCATTTCTCTTTATCCTCGAGCATTGGAGCAGGTTCGATAGAAATCATAAACAATACCTACAACAGGTGTTGCAATATAGAATCAATGTCATAAAAATGAGATGCAGCAAAGGAAAAGTTCAGACAATTAGCCTTAATATCTGCATACGCAACAAATTGGTTGGCAAGCCTTGCTTGGGAGAACACTTTTGCAGCAGCTAATTCAGAGAATCCAATGTACACAATTTTGTTCTCGGTTAATAACTAATGAATTTCATGCCAAGAGATTATTTAACTTCTTTAATGCAAATTGTGAAATACATAATTAAAATGACAAGCAAAGCAGATCACAAAACACTGCATGGATGCAAAGCATATCGCAACATAGGCACCCCAAAGCAATCATATGGGAGAATGGCAAGTGAATGGATTCTCATTTCCCAGAACTCAGAAGCATTCCACATCTTGGCAGGGTTCTCAGTGTGTACATTTCATCACACATAAACACATATTATATACCAAAGAAAAAAACACAATGAAAAGGCCCTCTGAGATAAATGCATCATAACAAAGGTTTAGGCAAACAATGGCAGAGCATGGAAACAACCAAGACTCCAGAAACACATTACTGACTCAGAATTAGACCATACTGATTCACTTTGACACAAGATATGCAACAATGGAGTCTTTGCATACATTACTATGACAAGATATGCAGATCAAAGTACAAACTAGTGTAAGAAACAAGTGAGATAAAGACAAAATGATACTTACTCTCATAGGATGAACAGTTGCTCTCGGAGGAACTCCCTGGAAAAATATGTTCAACAGTCACCAATTTAGCTTAGGATTGAGAATTGGCACCTACTAGAATGGGGTAAAAATAAATTTCCATGAAACCAGAGCAAATTGATAAGCATACCTCTGCCATTTCAATGGCAGACACTCCAAGAGCCCACACATCTACCTGAGAAAGAAATGAAAAAAGTAAGGGTTTGTTTGGTTTTTGGTTTCAAAACCAAAATTTCACTATTCATCCGACACAATTCTTGATAAAAATACATTATTTCATCTCACAAAACATCACATCAAAATACTATTTAAACCAATATTCAAATCAAACCTTCAATTTCAATCTTAAACAAAACACATCCTAATATTTCAGAAAATGATATACCTGAGTATGAAATATAAAAATTAAGACTTTACATGTGTAAACTTTAGTTCCAAAAAAGTGTAACCAGACTGACAAATGACATACCTTTCCATCATAACGACTTTCTTGAATAACTTCAGGAGCCATCCAATGTGGAGTTCCAATGAACTGAAAAGAAAAAAATATTGCATACATATATATATATATTATGTATGTATATATGTAATATATTAAGAACTTGCTTGAAAATAAATTCCAAAAACTAATATTTGCAACAGATTAAAGGATTTGGATAGAAAAATTGGAGGCCCCATTACATATATATATATATATTGTTTCTCATATAGCCTTTAAAAAGGGCTAAGATTGATCTCTCAGGGAAAAAATATGACGGGAAATCAAGTTGACGTTAAATTTTCCCCATGAACACAACTCATAAAGATAATTCCCATCACAACTACCAAAACACTATGTTACATATTCCTTTCCAACTTCAATCCCAATTATACACAGTGCTTGAAATTTTAGCCTGCCTTCCAACTAAATGGATCAAGAAATTAGTCGGAAATAGGTATGCATCAGATGTCCTGCAAGCTGAAGCAAATATAAAACCAGATGCAAAAAGGCGAAGTACAATCGTTTGATATTTGATGGCAAAGAAATGAAGAGAGTGAGAAGAAATAAACCAATCTCATGATCAGGTAGGCTAGTGTAAAGAAATAAGTTTACCGTGTTACGCTTAGACATAGTTCTGGTCAACTGTGCAGCAACTCCAAAATCACCTGTAATTGTTTTTTGCTCTTAGAGGGGATGGCATGAATATCAAATCAATATTGCAGGAAATCAATTATGAATCAACATATCCTTTCTAACTGACTCCCATGGTCAAACCAACAGGCAGAGTGCCCAACACCTGGCCCCTCTGGTGCAAAATTTTAGGGCAATATGGTGAATGCAAGTCACAGAATCATCATAATATGACTTACCCAATTTAACTTCTCCTTGCTCAGTCAACAAAATATTACCACCTTTAATATCTCTATGTACCTTGAAAATTGAATGCAGATACGACAGACCCTGCATGGGAGGTAGAACATAAGAAGCAGTCAAACAAATATATGCATTGAATGTTTGTGTATGAATCAACCTTCACCACATCATAACCTTCTTCGTAAACAGATATAAGCAGCAAAAAACATCATGTTTAACTTTGAAGGCAAGAGAGGAGCAGTAACATAAAGGACATACTTAAAAGAACCAAAATCAAATTATAAATTAAATGCAGTCTGCGACTTTCCACGAAATGTTATCCCCTGAAACAAGATGCACCAACATTTTGGCAGCTACTGCTCATAGTACAGCAAATAGTAAGCCAAGAATTTAGTTAGCTACACAAATATTGCTACCTTCAATGCTTCTCTGCATATATATGCTATTTGATACTCCTCAAGAGGCTCATCAGTGACATTAATCAAGTCAGCGACACTTCCACCTCCACAGTACTCCATTACTATCTGCCAAGAAAAAAAGAATTGAATTTTTAATGTTTGACGCAACATGAATCCAACATTTATCCTCTGATTCACAGCCTTGGTCAATGTTTTACACAGAACTACGTGGGTATAGAGACTCCATCTTTCTCATACCCAGAGAAATTCTTCTCCTTGGTAGCTCCCAAGATAGCGAACAACATTAGGATGACTACATTGCTGCAACATCTCAATTTCACCACGAATTTCTTCATATCCCTCTTCCTGGAGAGGTGTAGCATGTCATTTTAGAATATTCTATAGTAAAAAAAGAAAATTTACTGATAACAAGTTATAAGCATACCCCTTCAGATAAGGAGATCACTTTGATAGCAACTAATTCTGAGGTCCTTCTATCTCGCGCTTTGTAAACTGCCCCATATGAACCTTTCCCTATTTATAGAGCAAACACTTTCAATCATCTTAATTCTTAAATTCATTGATCAGTTCATAACACAATAAATACATATGTATACATCAAGTAACCAAAAGTTCCTTCTCGTGACAGAAAACTCTTGAGAATTATTTTCTTCTACTTGCCATATAGTACAATAGTCTCTCAACTAGTAGGTAAAGCTACACAAAACCGCTAACGTAATACATCACCCAATTACAAACTGAGCTCTTTAAACTTCAAAAATAGTTTGTTATCAAAGTACATGTGAACAGTAGGTTCGAGATAAAGCAGCTTCCAGTGCTCCTCCATTCCAAGGAAAATATAACTATAGTATTATTGGTTTCCAAGGGAATAAACGTGAACCTGACTCATATCAATCTTGAACAAACACAATAATGGTAGACCTAGCAAAGAAATCTCAAATACACACGGCAGATGCATCATTTAAATTAACTAAACCAAATTAACTATCATTCGCAACATTGAATACATAAAATGATTTACAAAAATACTACATCGCAATCATTGAAATGTATATCATTGCAATATTTACTTCAGATCGCTAATCCACTTTCTAAAATTAGGAGGAAAACAAAATAAAAGGCATCCCGCTTACGAAAATTAGACAAAATTTCAAACCCAACGGCAGATGCATAATTTAAAATTTGTGTCCATATGAAACACACTACCACATATCATATGTCAGCAATAGATTTATAATTCCAAGCTCAGACTCCTACATAAGCACATTATATCATCAAATACACAGCCACAATCGAGGAGAACAAACTGAATTTTTTACCAAGTTCATGGAGCAACTCATACTTGGTAGAAGGATCCTCCATGGTTACACATTCAGGTATCGAGCTTGATGACACCTTTTCACTCCCCGGATGCCTCGACAGTGCAATCCCACCTGCACCACTCCCCTCACCACCACCACTGCTTTTCCTTCGGCTTCTATTCCCCATTGCTCCAACCTCCCCCACCCTCTGCATACTCTCTACAGCCATCTTCATCGTCTCCCCTCCGCCACCACCAGCTCCTCTCCTCACCATCGTTCCCATCCTGTCCTCATCGTCCTCGTCCTCTTCTTCTTCATCATCTCTTCTCCTCACTACAAATGTTGAAAACCCCCCTGTATTCTCCTCCTCCTCCTCCTCCTCATCCTCACTCCCAATCTTGTCTACAGGGCTTCTCCTCTCCCGAAACGGAGCTGCAGCCGCGCTCCGCGGCTTCGTATACCGTGGAGAAACATTATGATTCCTCCGAGAGTAACTCGATCTCCTCCGATCGGTTTTTACAATCATAGTTCTAGATATAGATGCACCACCAGCATCGTCGGAGCCGGAGTCGGAGCCGGAGCCGGAGATATCATCGCCTCCAAGGCCGAAGTCCTTGGGAAGACGCTTGAGTAAAGGAGGAAGAGACTCCTCCTCTTCAACGACATCGTCCTTGTACACCGTCGTGGCGTAGATGTCCGGGTCGACTTCAGGCTGAACCGATGCAGCGTTGCCTTGGCTGTGAATCACTGCGGAGGAGTAGGCGTCCGAATTCTTCGGCGCGGCCCTCCGTCCTCGCCGTGAAATGGGCGAGTGCTCCATTTTTAGTCCGCGTTGTCTTTACTGTACGAACTGGAAAGTGGACTGTGGAGGGGAATGGAAGGGAAGCGAAGATTAAGGAGGTCGTCCAAGTTTTGCTCCACAGTCTAAAATCGTCATTACACGATCTACACCATATACTGACTTGTATAATTTATTTTTATTTTTTATTTTTCTTCTTCTGGTTTTTCAAAATATAATTATACATTTTAATTATATTTTAATATAAAATTTTTAAATTTTAATTAAATTATTTAATTATTTTAATTTTAATTTATAATTATTTTTACTATCAATAATTATTTTTATTAATATATTTTTTAATTATTTATTAATTATATTTTAATTAAATTCTCATGTCTACTCTAATACAAGCTTATACAAATTTAAAAAATTTAATTGAAATTTTATAGGATGATTCCGTGGATGCATTTACTTTGTATGATTATATCAGTAAAATAAAAAATAATAATATTGTATATTTACAATAATTGTGTTTTTGTTTAGAGGATTTTTTTTCGAAAATCTACTAGTTATTAAATTTTTCTCTTCAAAAATATTAAATTAAACATATATTTATTTATTTTTTTATACATCCTTCGTCCCGCTATATTGTCTATATTTTTATTTTAATTCGTCTCATTTTTTATGTTACTTTCTTTTTGAAAAAAAGTTATACAATTTGATTTTATTTTAAATTTTTTTAATTTATAATTTCTTAAATTTTAATTAGACTAATTAGTTATTTTAATTTTAATCTATAATTATTTTTACTAATATATTTTTAATTATTTACTAATTATACCCCTTCTAAATTTTCGTGATGCATATATGATAATCGGAACGGAGAGAGTTTACATCCAATGTATGCATTGTAGATTGTGAAATTATTATGGTATGCATTATTCATCACTCAATGCATGTACTACTCTACTGGTAAACGAAAGTAGAATGAATCAAAATCTGCATTTAAATATGAATCTTAATTTGAATGTGATTGATCTGAATATGCAATTAAATTTGTTGTATTACCACTGTTTTGTCTTCTTATTTTTTCACTTAAGTACTTCCTCTCATTTCATTTCCAGCTTTTCAATTTCATGAAAATGAATAAAATGAATGAATAATAGTAGTTAAAAGACACATGCATAATGGTATTTTATTGTTAAATTGTGGTATATTTTTATTGATTGTGTTATGTTTAATTTTGTTGTTTTACAAGAGAGAAATGACTAAACATGTTCCGATGTATTCAGTCCCAAATAAATGGCTAAGTTGAATAAGTTACTAAAGTCCAAAAATAAAGAAGTCATTCTATATTGAGAAGTCATGTTTTTAGGGTCTTTTATACGTTAGAAAAACAAAAATAATAGTGAGTCATTACTTCACTTAACGAGAAATTGAGACATTGAGAAAAAATATTTTGTTTTTTTAGATGGGGCGGAATGACATTATCGATAAAAATGTTGCTCGAGTATATGTGCTCCCACATGGTTTGGTAAAAATCTCATATCTTTAGTAAAGTCTTCGAACTATTATGGTGAAATTTATGAAATTAGCCAGCGGTTCGAGCTTAATACAAGAAATTCTACGGTAGTCCATAATTCTTGGTTATTAGAGATATTAGAATCTTCTACATAGCACCGTCCTATTGACTTTTGGAGATTTTATGTCCTATATTTTTTGTCGACGTTATTAGTTCCATCTACATCTTTATGTATAAATAATAGATTCTTAGGGTTCCTTGTTCTTCTGGCGATACTAAAGATATAATTGGGCTACTGTTATAAAAGACAAGTTGGTGAATTCAATAATTTAAGTGTAAATTGGTGGATAACAAAAAATTAACTTGTAGACCAATGCATATCTTCTAATAAGTGTTTGAAATGTGTCAATATAATATGTACATACATATTTTTGTATTTTTCTCTAATTTTTTTTGTTATTTTCAACATTTATTTTACGATCTAATTGATCGTAAATTATGGGACTAGGAACTTTATTTGCTCTTTTAAGAAACACATACACTTGGCTGATATGATTCATCATTTTTGGAAGCTTCCAATTGAAACTAAAAATAAATTGGCCAAGGAAAATAAGGTATGTGTTACATATTATATTGTAAAGTATGTGCTACATTTTATATTATAAGGTGATGGACATGTAAAATTCCAAATGATAGATCTAGATAGGCATCTTGTTTCCCATTACGTAAGACTAGAAGGTTTCTTGTTTCTTAACATTTAAGACCTGAAGTTTATTTCAGCTGATTTTGTGTAGAGAACATTATTGTTTTTTCTTTGCCATACGTAATCTAAAAATATATATGTTTGCATTAGAAAATTAGAAAAAAAAAGACTTCTACTATGTTAAGAACTAATATAGTATTTTTATCTTTTAGGAAAATAAAAGTGCTCGATAATTTTGAAAATTTAAAACAAGCCTACGAGCGCAAAAAGGAAGCATTGATTTTAAAGTTGGGTACTTTTGTCAAGAAAATGAATTAAATAAGAAACTTTTGGTTGTAAAGCAAGAGATTGTAGAAATTGAGGATGAATTGTATTTTCTTATTGCTAATATTTTGGAAAATGAAGCATTGGCTAACAAAAATTAACACAAAAATCATCATGTTGAAAATGTAATTTATAATAAATGAAATTTATTAGTATATTATTTAATTTAATGAATGAAATATATTTATTATTTTTTATATATTGATAACATTTTATTTGTAGATTCTACTTATATAAATAGTTCAATCCACAATGAGGTTTTGTTATCTGATCTATGATAATTTTTTATTAGTTTTGATATTGTTATTAGTTATATTTTTAGATTTTTTATATGGAATAATAAGTATGTTATATGATATTTAAGATTTCATATAATTAAAGTGTTTTGATTAGGGCTGAAACTTTGTTATTTGACTTCCAATAAGATATATTGTGTGTGCATGCACTAACTGATTTCGAAGCTTATGGTGAAATAATTGTGTTTGACAGAAATAACTACATGCAAATTGAAGAAATATAAAGCTTAACACCAGGGCAATATATTATAGACACCACAATTGATTGTTACGCTCACTTTTTTAACCGGAGAGAATTTGGATGAGCGGAGACAAATAAGAAACCAATGACTCGGTTTTTCTTATCAAGTATATTGACGGTATAAATTATTTAGTTTAATATATTTATAATTTATATTACTATTGACATATTTATATTTTCACTATTAATAGTTAATTACACTACATGAAGTACAAAATAACCGTCTCGGATAAAGAGACAATCATTTTATCATGGACTCCGTACTTAAAAAAAAAAAAGTTATCTTGGGAAAAAGAAGTGTGCATTTTTAGTTGATTATGTAAGTATACGGGATTGTATTTATTTTATATAGAATGTTATGTTATTTGGTAACTAACATAATAGCCTTGTTATCTGACAATATTGGTTGTTGTTGATATGTTACTTCGTTAACAAAACTAATTTGTGTTACTAAGATATGATGTTGAAGTGTTATTCATTGATTTGAAAATGACTCTTTTATTTAGGTTGATTTTGAATGACTTGTTTAGCTAAGTAAGGAATTCAAAATGTTCAATTTCAGTATATTTAGGATGAGAATTGAAATCTTTTATACAATGTCTAGTTTTTATTTATTTATTTAATTTTGTAGTTTTTCTTCTCTCACTATCGACATGAACATTGGGTGCTCTTTTGTATTGATATATCAAGACATAAAATATGGTATTTTAATTTACTTAACCCCAAAGAAGGTTTTATTAGTGACAAACCAACAATGAAAAATTTGTCGTATTATTTTAGAACTACTGTTCAACATCATTCAGCTAATGACCGGTAGGAATGGAAGTTTTGAATATATTTTTCTTAAGAATTCAATGCTTGTGGTGTATTGACTAATTGTAGGTGGAAAGGAAGTTTTGAATTTGTTTTTTCTAATCACATCCTACAGCCAGATACTTGTTCCTGTGGTATAATGGTAGCTTTGTACATAAATGACTTCAATGGTCATATTGCGAATAGTGTCTTGGAGTAATTCAGAGATGTGAATATTTTGAATGCAAAAAGAGCAAAGCTATGTGCTGAGTTACTTGCAAAATGCTAATGAAAAGAAATCTAATTTGCTGGACATATTAAGAATTTACAACGAACAAAATAAACATGTGAAGAAATAGAACTGTAAAAAGAATATATTTAGAAGAAGATTAAGGCCGGAATTTGTGATTTTCTATAACTATTTAGTATATTTAGAATATCAATTAACAAACACAAAACAATAAATAATTAATGTATAATTATATCAAATAAAAAATTAATAAATAAATATTGAATAACAAATATCAAGATCTTATATATAAATAACAAAGTTACAAAACTTCTTTGATTAAAAAAAACTTATATATCTCATATCACAAAGAAGTAATAATAATTTATTATCGGAATATGCTAGACCCACGTTCATTAATTCAGTCGCTGGCACATAGAAGCAACATTTTCCATCTTTTCACCCCTCATACAAAGATGCAAACTTATAAAAATATTAACAAACTGGTAAATATAATTATTTTTCATATATAAAAAATAAAAAATAAAGACAAAAACATAACATCAAATGCATTTTCATTTATATATACAAAAGCTCAAATTTTGTTTTCAATTGATGGAAACAAATCTAACTCTTTTATGCCACTTGTGGATCAATTCATTTTTTTCAATTTAGTCTTTTTTATGTTTCGAGCTTGTTTTGGTATTAACACTAACTTTTTTTTTTTTTACTTTCGAAAAAACTGCATTGTTAATTTTCTTTCTCTTTTCCAATCAATTTTCTGTAATTACTTGGTCAACAGAATTAATGGTGTTATTTGTTGATTGGACAACATTTTTTACAATTCAATGAAGCTCAAAGACAAAATTGTCATACAGTTTTTTTATCGTTACTTATTTCACTTGTACTTACCATCATCAAACACAAATTTTTGTATCTTGCATTATAATCATCCCCACTTTGATAATCAGAAACTGCCAAATCTAAGTAAGCATTTTTCCTTGCATCTTTTGTCAATCTTTTCAAAATATAATGGTTTGAGATAAACACAAAATTTTCCAAACTCGTCGCATTATTAACATCCATCACTTAATGCATGGGAACATAAGATTCATATATTGATGAATATATTGCAGTCACAATGTATTAGTCGTCGTCCAAAGTCCACCGTGACATTATGCACCTTAGCTTTCATATTGATTTGAATTTGTTTTTTGGACAACATAGTGTTGAACATCAGTTTGAAAATATACATTTGTCACAACTTTTGTAATATATACAAATTATTTGTTGTACTCTTCATTAAAGATCTTGCACACTGATAGTGTGTAAAGAACAACAACTTATGTAACCATCTTATTGTATAAAAAATTGATTGTCTGTTGACGGTCATTGCACTTCATTTCTTCAACTATCGACCATCATTTCAAATTAATTGAAAAATTGTAGTAAATTGTGTTTTGATTGCAAACACTTTTTGACGACCCCATTTACTGATTCACTAAGTTGGATAGTTATCATTTCTATTGTGAACTGTTGCATCATCCATTTATGAGCTCCATTTATGCCTCAATGTATGTATTAAATATATCCATTTATGAGCTCCATTTGAAAAGCATAATGATAGCATTAAAGACCATTCTAGATCGAACTATCGCTTATTGTTGACACAATATGTTAGCTCGTGGAAAAATCTTGCAATACTACAACATAGCAAAAAAATAGTGTTATATAACATAATATGTTATATCTACTATGCATACCATTAAAATAATATTAGTAGACCCTTATTCGATGAAATTAATAATATTATCACACAACAAACATGTTAACATTGAAATATATATCTAAAACGATCATAAATATTACCTATATGCTTTACAAGTTTTTTTTTTAGCATTTTTCAATATATGTCAAGTGCAAAATTCATGATATGCCAATGACATTGTATGAGCTGAAGATATTGCTCTATCTTAATATGTAAAAATTATATTTTACATTTAATAAAGATATTTGAATAATCATTTAAATATTTGTTTCATATCTAACCTTAAAAAGAAAAAAAAAACACATTTTTATAATTAAGTATTTATTTAGTTTTTGCAGGTTGATATTTAAATATTAATTATTATATTAAAATATATTATAAATCAAAGAAAAATGATAAAACTATTTTGTTTTTAATTTGTAAAAAAATTATATAAATAAAATGACTCAAATGCAATATATATAAATAGGTGTTGATATGATATTTTGAATTTAAAATTAATTTTTAGTATAATATAAAAAATAAAAATTAAGTGTTTAATTTGATATTTTTTGAGAAAAAAAAATGGGATTAATAGTATATTTAAAATTCAATCCCCAAACAAACACAACCCGTTATTACTTGGAAGAGACTCCTCCAGCCGTTTGTTCCATTCTAGTTGCTCCACCAAACGCCACATGTTCCGCCGGAGCTCAATAGTCGGGGTAGATTTGTTGTCCGGTGAATGATGGCTCGTGCTGGAGGAATAACGAATAGGAATTGCGGTGCAAGCCGACTGGGAGAATCGGGAATTCATTTCCCACATCTCTCTCAACATTCGCCGCCTCTTTGATTTCCTCCTGCAATTTGGTACTTTCTCGTTTTCGCCTTTAGATCTCGTTTGGATTTGTGTGACACTTCCTGTGTTGACGTTTTGTTTGATGTATGTTTGTGTAGAGTCGACTATGAAGAATAAATTGGCGAATTTGAACGAGAAGCTGGACACTTTGGAGTGGCGCTTGGAATTGCTGGAAGTACAAGTCAGTAATGCGACAACCAATCCCGCACTTTTTAATTCCAGTTGATCTTAAACTAATTCTCGTTCTTCTGCTGAAATTTCAAATCAAATTATTAAAGTGTGGGGACTGACTGTTTGGTTTTTATAGTTTTCCGTTGTGGAATAATATCTTGTTTTTGTTGCTTTCATATGTATATTGATTAAATTGTGATTTTCATACGATGTAGATATAAGTTGCGTTTGACAATTAGCTGATAGTTTTTAGTTGTTAGCTGATTCAATTAGCTGGTTTGACTAGCTGATTCAATTAGCAGTTTGTATTAAAGTGTTTGGTAAAACAACTGTTTGACATTAGCTGTTTATACATAAAATGACTATTAAGAATATTGATATGTTAATTTTAAAATATTTAATTTTGTTCCTTTTGGTTTGAAATTTATGAGAATTTTTGTTATTAATTATTGAAAATTATAAAAATATTATAAAATATTTATTTTTATTTTTATTATTTAGATCTGATAAAATTATTTTTACTAAAAAATGATAATTTTTTTATTGAAATTATGTAAAATATAAAATAATAAATTTTTCGTATATATATTTTTATTATGTTAATTATTGTTTTAATATATATAAATAAATTAATAACTTTTATTTTTTCTATTTGATTTAGTTTTAAAAATTTATATATTTTACAAATAAAATAATTTATATGTAATAATTAATAATAGTAATTATTTTAAATTTACAAAAATAAAAATATAATTTAATAAATTAAATATATTAAAAATAATTAATAAATACTACTATAAAAATATATTTATATGTATAAAATAAATAATTAAGTTTTAAGGGTAAATAAGGAATAATCAAAATTAAAATGAAAAAGCTCTTTCAAAACGCTTGGTAGATGAGCTTTTCAGAAATGAGCTTTTTGGATCCAAAAAACTCTTTCAAAAAATTAATTTACCAAATGCCTAAATTAACTTTTTCACTGGTCAAACAGCTAAAAGCTGTTCAATAAGTTAAAAATTTTTCAAAAAGTTTCCCAAACACTTTATAGTTACTTTCTAATTGGTTGTGTACAACCGTCTCAGAGTTGAGTTCTTATTATTGATCTTCTCTTGAAATGTCTGCTGCTTTTTATTCGATTGCTTTATCACAACGGTTCCTGAATTTTGATGGCCACAAAAAAAATGAAAAATGAAATAATTATGTAATTATATTTTATATAACTAACAAAAAAATGAGCTATTTTTTGGATTTGTTTGCTACTATGACAAATAAAAATATAATATTATTTTTTTAATAAAATATTATATACAAATATATTTAATAAAATTCAAATATTAATACAATCAAATAAATTTTAATACAAATATTTTAATATTTTACATATATTAATAAAAATGGCCCCAAAAATTTTGGACCCTAGGCCTACTCATGCCCAGGGCGAAAATATTAAATTGAAATTAAAATTTCAAATAACAATTTTTGTTATGATTTGATTTTTTTTTAAAAATTGTTAGTTTTGATTTAAAAATTCAGTTTATATATATATTATTATTTTTTTTATCTTCTTTTTTTTTAAATTTAAATTTTATTAAAAAATAATTTATTTCGGTTTTAATAATATATATTTATTATCTAAAAATTATATAATTAATACTTAATTAAATTGTAACAATATAAAAATAATTAAAATTATAAATTTATAATTAATTAAATTAATTTTTGAATGAAACTAAATTAAAAAAACTGGTGTATTACTGTATTACATAATAAAATAATTTAAATTAAATATAATTATATAATAAAAAAATTATAAAATTTAAAATATTATATAAAAAAATAATATTATATTATTATTATTATTTTAATATTATTAATAGTTATTATTTTTATTGAAATTAATGTTATATCTATTTTTATAATAATTTAATTATATATTTCATTCGTATTTAGATCACAACATTATATTTAATATTAAAAGTATCATTATAATGTTTTATACAAATATTTATTCTATTAGTATTACAAAATATTGATAAAAGTATTTTTGAAAATTTTACTTAATTTGTACCGTTTTGATATAATAATTAATATTGAAAAATAAACAAAAGCAAAAAAATAAATAAGACCCCTAAAATTGAATGAAGATAATATAATATTGTATCATAATCAAAAGGTCATCTAATTGAGGAAAAAAATGAGAGTATATTTTTAAACATATATATTTCCTTTACATTCGCACCATATTCACACTCACCATTCACACTCACCGCGGTCCGCACAGTTACTTCTCTTATTCAATCGATGTCAATCAAACATATTATTTTGAAAATAAATTTTAATAATCATTTGTTTATAGGGCTTATAATTTATTTTCGCTCGGGACTTAAAAAAAGTCCGAGACGGCCCTGCTATTGGCATGCTCCTTAGTTACTTTTAGACCAGTGCGGTGAGACCATTCTAAATTCAATAGTACAACACCATTTTCTTTTATGCCATTATATTTAATATTAAAAATATCTTTATATTTGTATAATTTATTTTACAAATATTATTGTATTTGTATTATAATAGATTAAAAATATATTGTGTTATTTTCTTTTGACTTGTATGATATTCTTTTTATGAAATAGAGAAAGTTTAATAAATAAAATGGCCAAACCTCCGGTTTGAATCAGAATTAGCAGTTTGAAAAAGACACAAACCGAAGCCGAATTACGATTTGAGTCCGGTTTTGTTTTGGACCGGCGGTTTCGACACGTGTCACTTGCACATATCACACGTACGATTAGAGTCTCCTCCTATTAAAACCCGAATGGGAAAGCGGTTCGGCCCTCGCTTTAATATCCCTCGGCGCACGTTAGCATCAGCCCCTTCCTTTCTGGGACCTTCGATTTTTCGATTTTTGCCGTTCTTTTATCTGGCAAATATGTGCTAAAGATTTGTTTCTCCCAAATTTCCATCAAACCCTATCGCTCCTTGCGCCTCACATCAAGCTTGACGACGCCATCGTTCAGATCCGTAATTGTTTTCGTGAGATCCCTGATCTGTCGCTCTGATTTTGGTGGTTTCGCGTCCGGTTTCCTTGATTTTGAGGTAATTTTATTCGATTTCCGCGAAGTTTTACTTTCTTTTTTTTTTCGGATTTTCATCGGGAAGCATGGCGTTATCGCGATTTTCACCGTATATGGATTATTGTTGAAGATCGTTTGAAATATTGGCGAGTTTCCTCATCGAACGGCAAGTATAAAAGGGTTGGTTTGGTTTTTATTTGACATTGAGTTTTGGTTTAAATAATATCTTGAAATGATCGTTAGTTTATTTCTATCTGAAATCGTGGAGGACGAAAAGTGATGAAATGTGTTTCAAATCAAAATCAAACAAAACCCAATTCTTCGCTTTAAAAACTCCATTTTTTGTTTCGGGATTATATGATGTAGAAAGAAACGCGGTTTTTGGCGTGGCGGAGATTCAAGCAGTTTAGAAAGGGATTGAGTTTTATCGGTTGATTGATATGCCTTGATTTTAATATTTTTTTTCTAAATAATTTTATTTTTAATTATTTTGCTGTGTCGAATTTGATTCAATTGCTGAATTTGAAGATCTGAAGGTTGGCGGGGTCAGGTTTGATTTTCCTGATAAACAGTTTTGAAATTTCTGATTTGAGTTTCCTCTTGAGTTTGAAGTTTCCAATATGTATGAGCAAATGTTTTTGAGTAAAGATTGATACATTGTTATTAAAGAAATATATTCTACAATTGAATTCGACGTATGAGCAAATCTAACTCTTTTATGCCACTTGTGGATTCACTCAGTTCCTTCAATTTAGCATTTTTTATGGCTCGAGCTTTTTTTGGTATTAACACTAACCTCTTTCTGCCTTTCGAGTTTTTTCGATATTTATGGGGTCCTTAATTTTCCTTTTTCCATTTAGAGGAAATAGATGACCCGGTGGTTGGAGGACATGTATAGTTAGGTTCCATTTGTATATTTGGGGAAATTTGACATATCTTAACCAAACCTTTTGCTAATTATTTGACAACCCCATTTAGTGATTCACTAAGGGTGTGTTTGTTTGGGGGGTTTGGATTTTAGATTTAGATTTTTGAAGATTTGTAAGTATGGATTTTTAAGTTGTGTTTGTTTGAAGGTTTGAATTTTGTAATGATTATGTTGGAAGAAATTATTATTATATTTAAAAACATGATGTATTGATGTGATAGTTTGAAATGAATGATATTTAAATATTGTTAAAATAAATAAAAGTGAAAAAGTAAAGTGATGTTGGAATTGATATTTTAAAAATAATTTTTTTTTTAAAAAAAATTTGGAGATATTATTATTATTATTTTTTTATTTTATGGGTTTGTTTGTTTGAAGGTTTTGATATTTGTTGAGGGGATTGGATTTTAGATTTGGATTTTTGAGGATTTTTAAGTATGGATTTTTAAGTTGTGTTTGTTTGGAGGTTTGAATTGTTGGACTAATTTTATATTTGTTTATTTTATATTTTCAGATTTTGTTGTATTATTCTATCAAATATTTTATACTCATCCAATTCTTTTTTACAAAAAAATAGCAAATCAAATATTTTTCTATTTTCTATAATTATATAATAAAAACTTATAAAAATTCTTTTTTACACAAAAAAAGCAAATCAAATATTTTTCTATTTTCTATAATTATATAATAAAAATTTATAAATTTAAAATATAAATCATTAATACATAGTATTTATTTTTTACTAATAATAATATTATTTTAAGTTTATAAAAAATTAATAATATATAATAATGAATATATTTATCCTAATGTGCTAATGAATCATTGTCAAATTCTTTTTGCTTCCCCTTCTTCCTTTCCAATTTTTTTTTTTTTTTTTTCTTTCTATTCTTTTATTTTATTTTATTTTATTTTTTTTTTTTCTCTCTCGTTTCTTTCTATTCTTTTGTCTTCTTTCACCCAGCAGTCTGCTGCTCCGCCATTCCCCACCAGTTAATATAAACTTTTTTTTAACAAAAGAAAAATAGAAAACCGTCGTTTGGAATCGAAAATTGCTGATTTGAGTTCAGACAAAACTGGTTTTGGTTCGATGACGGTTTCGGAACCGCCGGTGTGAAACCGGAACCGGTTTCGGTTCGAGTACACCTGTTTGAAATCGGCGAACCGGCGTTTCCAACGGCCCGTTCGAAACCGACTGAACAAGTCTGGACAAAACAGACTGCGACCATTTCAGGCAAAAAGAAAGCCTATGAATCAATAACAGGCATAGGTTTTAGGTGTGGGATTTTTAATTCAAAGTCTGTACAGTAATTATACAGTATTTTCTAAATCCAATCGGCCAAACGAATACAGCCTAAGTTGGGTAGTTCTCATTTCTGTTGTGAATTATTGCATCATCCATGGAGAAAATATTTATGCCTCAATTTATGTATATATCCATTTATGAGTTCCATTTGAAAAGCATGTTGATAGCATAAAAGATCATTTTAGATCAAACTCTTGTTCATTGTTAACACAATATATTAGCTTGTGGAAAAGTCTTGCAAAATTACAACAAAGAAAAAAATTAGTGTTATATAACATAATATGTCATATCTACTATGCATACCAATAAGATAATATTAGTAGACCTTTATTAGATGAACTTAATAATATTATCAAACAACAAACTTGTTAATATTGAAATATATATCGATAATAAATATTACTTTCCTATGTATTTTTTTTTTGTAAGTTTTTTTTAGCATTATCAAATATATGCCAAGTGCAAAATACATGATGTGTGCATGACATTGACAAAGCTATTGCCGAAGATATTGCTCCATCTAAAAGTTATTTTTGGATATTTATTCCTTATTTTTGGATATTTATTCCTCAACCATTCAAATAATTGTCTCATTTATTACATAAAAAAAAAATTCCCATATATTTTTTTGATTTACCAAATTGGCCACCACTATGACTTGGAATAGACTCCCTCCGGTCGTTTGTTCCATTCCAGTTGCTCCACCAAACGTCACACGTTCTGCTGGTGCTCAATAGTCGGTGTAGATTTGCGGTCCGGTGAATGATGGCTCGTGCTGGAGGAATAACGAACGCTGTAAACGTAGGAATTGCAGTGCAAGCGGACTGGGAAAATCGGGAATTCATTTCCCACATCTCTCTCAACATTCGCCGCCTCTTTGATTTCCTCCTGCAATTTGGTACGTTCTCTCGATTTTGCCTTCAGATCTCGTCTGAATTTGTGTCTCTTTTCCTGTGTTGACGTTTTGTTTGATGTATGTTTGTGTAGAGTCGACTACGAAGAATAAATTGGCGAATTTGAACGAGAAGCTGGACACTTTGGAGAGGCGCCTGGAATTGCTGGAAGTACAAGTCAGTAATGCGACAGCCAATCCGGCACTTTTTAATTCCAGTTGATCTTAAACTAATTCTTGTCCTTCCGTTGAAATTTTGAATCAAATTGTTAAAGTTTGGGGACTGACTGTTTTGTTTTTATAGTTTTCCGTTGTGGAATGATATCTTGTTGTTGTTTCTTTCATATGTATATTGATTAAATTGTGATTTCTATACAATGTAGATATAGTTACTTTCTGAATTGGTTGTGGACAACAGTCTCAGAATTGAGTTCTTATTATTCTTTTCCTGAAATTTCTGCTGCTTTTGATTCGATTGCTTTACATTGAGAAGGGTACATATATATATATGTGTGTGTGTGTGTGTGTGTGTGTGTGTGTGATTTCTCAACTAATAATGTTAGGAAATTACTTTCAAAATGATGCACACTATATTTGTAATATCTATTGATATTCACAATAAGTGGATGGAGAATGGATTCCACATTTTTATCCAGAGCAGCACATTTTCCCAGAAAGACACCATGTTTTCAGATGATTAAATTTCAGACTTTTCCCTCTCCCCGTCTCTACTTCATCTTGCGGGTGACGGCTGTGCAGTGGTGTTTCTTCTGTTGATCTGCTCACTACAATTTCTTTTGTTTAGGTAAGATTTCCTGTTCTTGTTCTGATGTTATTGAGATCGGTGGTGGTGATTTTATTCCATGGGATCTGTTGAGTGATTTTATATCTTCACTTGTGTTTTTTGAATTGTTTATTTGTTGGATCCAGTTATATATGTAGGTGTTTCTATGAGTTTCTTCAGCAATTTGTAGGAAAGATATAATCTTGAGAAACTAAGATCTTTGTCGAACTCATATCCTGCTTCCCATGTTCTCATAATTTTTGTTTTTATGTTGTGAGAAATTGTTCTCCTGGGTAAATATGTAGTTTGTTTTCAGATTGATAGATGAAATGTCTAACTGAATAGTATGAGAGGTATGAATTGGTATTCTTTGTCAATCACTCTTAATTTGGGAATTATTTAAACTCTTAATTAGCTTTGGATTTGAAAACCAATTTCCCCTTTCAATAATTCACCGTTTTTGTGATTTAGTGTCATCGGAAGGATTCTCTTAAATTTGCTGCAGAATTCATCTTTCTTTTGAAATAAGTATCTTGTATAGTTCAAATCATAGTTTGTTCTCATAGATTAGCCAAAGTTGAAAAGGAGGTACAACTAACTTTTCCTTTTCTACTTCCGGAGAATTTGAACAAGTATAATGCCAGGACAAAATGCCAAGAAACACATCAGACAACCAGCAGCAGACAACAAAGACAATGATTGCGGAGATGGAAATCCATGAGAGATTAAAGATGAAACATTTAAGGATCCTGCAGGTACTCGTTCCTCCTGTACAATATATACTTTTGTGGAAGCAATATAACGTGGAAGCCGCATATATATGTTATGCAACCTATTCTACATAATGCCAAGTTGGTTCTTACCCTTTGAAGAATGAATTAACACTATAGGTTGTTCTCTAAGTGATATATATGAATGGGTACATAATGTTATTCTTCATTCCATGTGGGATTTGGAATACGCTGACATGCTGGAATTGAAAGCAACTGTTTAAAACTTTTAAAAAGCACCTCTTTTGTTATATTCTAGTGAAAAAATGTTCTACATCCCTCTTCTCTAAACAGGCACATCCCCTAAAAGTTGAATCTTTGAGTTAAATTCCATTTTTATTCATATGCTTAGATATAGTACTTGATTGAAACACTGGATATCAATTTCTGCAATGCTTTCACTTATCCGAAAGAGTTAATTGTAATCAGTAATTCTATATGACATATTGACATTGCACTCAAATAATTTCCAACAGTAAGTTCCTTGGAAGCAGATCTTCAAAGAAAATCTTCCAAATCTTTCTATTACAAAGATGGACAAAGATAGTCGAATTGAAGTGAAGTAGAAAGAACAATGTGAAAGCCTTTATCTGAATCATGCTGATACTGTGCATGGGTGCATGTATCTCTTCTATGCCGGCTTTCAACTGTGTATCCTGATTTCTGCTTTTCTTCCTTGAGTGGCTTTGAATTATTAAATAAATCTGGTATTTGAAGATCTTTTGACCTGAATATGATAATCTTTTTATATTTATTTATGCACATTCTGATTCAATATTTTGCATTTTGACAGTGAAAACAAGGGTCTTTGGTGCTGATAAACTACAGATCATTAGTCCTGTATGCTTACTAACTTGGCAACTTTTGGCTTATGTTCGCTTTCCCCTGTTTTCGTCTCTAGCATGCACTTGAACTTTATGAAAAACCCAGCCATGTTTTCTTTGAAGAAAATTGGATGCAACTGTGTCTTTTACCTCTCTGTTATGGTTTTTAATATTGAATATCCAAAAAATAGTATATATGTTTTTTCAGGCCTTGGAGGAGCCACTGGAGTCACAAGTATTGGGAGGTGAAGGATGGAATGCGAACCCCAAATGAAGGTGTATGTATTCGATAATTGCCAGTTATTAAAGGCTGAAAACCTGCTTTGTGAATTTGTTGACGACCACAGAATTCTAGTTCTTGAAGTTGTTGCTTTTTCATGTTATAATTGTAGGTGAATAATAACAGGCTATTAGTTGGAGTCACACCCAAAATTTCAGGCTTTCCAAGTGCAGAGAGATGTTTTATCCGTACACGGGTCACCTCTTGGTGTCTGCAAGGACGATAACATGGAAACCGTCCAAGGTACATACCTTTTCCCGTTTGATTAGTTCATTTCATGCTTTCACATATTTAATCATTTATTACCTTCCTGCTTGCTGTAAATGAAATAGATATTTTAGGAAATCATTTGTAATAACTAAAAATTTATTTATTTTATCTTGCAGAGACATAAGGTGGTTGAATGCTAAGAATAACAAGAATCACGGGTCATCAAAGGTATCATCGGTCATTCTATGTTTCAATAGGAACATATTCTCTTGCCATGCATGTGGACTTATATATATAATGAGCATATGATTATTCAACTCCGAATTTGTTACATGCTCTTTTAATGCCAAGATATAAAGCCTGCGCAGTTTTTCCTTTATCCATTTGGCATTGATAGACGAAGGAAGGATTAATAAATGCGTGTAGAATAAAAAATTATGTAATGAACACACATACAAGTGGTTGGACACTGAATTATGTGGACATAGTATTAGTCATAGATGAATGATGATTTGGGAAGACTATATAATATGTAATTAATGATGCAATTCCTAAAACCGTAAGCTTTTACGTGTGAAGTCATTTAACATAGTATCAGTTCGTGTGAGATGAATCCACTTTGCATGTGAAGGGGCGTGGTGGAAGACTTTATAATATGTCATTAATGATGCATTTCGAGATGGTCATTTAACAAGTGAATAATCAAGACACTATAGTGTGGCACTACATGTTTACATGTTACCTATTCCCTTAGATCCAAAAAGACTAACATCTAGGGCCCTTTCCTTTATTTTTCCATCAACTTCCCTACATACATTTTGGTTGTCATGTTTTCAGCATCTAAAAAGGACTGCCGTACGTATATATATTGCTTTTTATATGTCTGGTCTTGGTTTGATTAATCTCGTGTTTATACAAGCACTCTGTAATATTGCATTGCCTTAGCAGTCTTGATTGATTAACTGTTGCCAACCAGTTTCTTAAATCATTAGTTTCTGTTCTTGTAGCTTATACAGGTGGTTTCACCAAACCCTGTTTTAATCCTTATTAAAATCATTATTTCTTCTCATTTCCTTTTAAAGATTGGGTGAAATCCATTTGGGTTGTCTTGTGTTATAGAAAAAACTATTTGGGTTGTCATCATTCATTAAGATAAAATCTATGTAAAATATAATATCTAATTGTTTTTCTATCTTAGTGATACGCCAAGTTAATGTGATGATTATGTCTTGAGCGATTAGCTTTTCGGCAAGGCCTATGAAAAATAATAAGATATAGAATTTGATGAAATTGATGTAGTTGTGGACCCTAAAATGCTATATCATAATTGATTTTATACTATTTGATTGGTGAGTTTCCAAGTCGAATACAAGTATTTTAAGTCATGAAATTTAAATAAAGAAATATTTATTGAGTCTGGCTAAATCGGAAAAGCGATAAAGGGTGGCTCGCTGGCGAGGGAGCCAAAAGCAGTAAAATGCAGAAATGTAAATAAAACAATAAAAAGTGAACGGATAGCGGGGACGAGCGGAGCGACGGTTTACGAACGACGGATGCAGTGAGTGCGCGGGTGATTGGAGCGGCATGGGGTGACAAGTGAGCGCCGAGCGGTATATATATATGTGATCGATGACTGGCGAGCGGCGTACGATAATGAAAATGAGTAAATGACCGATGATAATAACAACGATAAGAATGTACAGAGATGTTTGTGTGTGATCTATGCGTTCGAAATGGTTAGATTTTCATGGATAAAATGAGTGAATGGTGAAAGTGAAATAACGAAGCATATATATAAAGCGAAATGACATGTGATCATACTTGTTCATTTAAATCAGATTCTTGACTCGTTGGTACTTGACCTGAAGGAAGTTATTACAAGACTTGAATAACACCAAGATTAAGAACATTATAAGCAAGAAAAGCTATTATAACTAGACATTTCTGACACCCGGTTGACAGGCGTCTATGTCTAATTAATTATTTTAAAATCTGTTTTATTAGTGGTTTTACCTTTCTGATACCTCTCTTTAATCAATATTGAATTTAAAACCGTAATTAAGCAGGTCGACAAGGCTCTCACGTACTTAACTATCATGAACTATCCAAAATCTGTTAATGAATATAATGCAAAATTAGGCTTTGATAATCAATTTTTCTAAAGAAACTTCCACATGATGTCAAGATTCCAAACAAACAATTACATATAAACTTTGAAAATGGGGATGAATGTACAGACGAAGGATTTATGATATTTGATTAATAACTACAAAAAGGAGTGTATTTACATTATGAAAGTAGTAAATGAAAGCAGTAACAAATAAATAAATTTGCCTACCAAAGCAACTAAACTAGGTGGTCAGGGGAGGAGAGAATCTCCACTTCCCCAACCTTTTCTAATTAAGAGAACTTTCTTACAATATTGGAGCTCTCGGAAATTGAACAGAGTAAAAACAGTAAGAACACTGAAATGTAGTGTATTTTACAAAAGAAATCTGACCCTATTTATAGATTTTTTGGATCGGCAGTTGGCAGCAGTTGAGCGGTTACAGAGAGGTAGTTGCGAGCAGTTAAAAGGTTGTTGCAACCGCTACGTAATTAGGCAGTTGGGCAGTTAGGCAGTTAATTGGTTGGAACTGTCTTGACTCCCAGGTCGCTCGCTTTCTGGATTGATATGGCTGGGGCATAGATCTTCCTCGTTTATCTTGCTAGACTTAGCTTCGCTGAAGGGCATCGGCACAACTCAAGTGGTGCTATCGTCACTGGCCGGTATCTGAATGATTGACCGCTGGGAGATCAACACTTAGGAAAAATCTGATACTTCTGGATCTCGCTCATCGGCAGTGGATGTCTAGCTAGACTGACTCGGGTGCAAGCGGAAAGTTCGTCACTTACCATAACTGCCTGCACCTTTATTGATCTTTCATACTTAGATAATTTTTGACCCAGAACATCACTTAAAAACTTCTGGATCTCGCTCATCGGAGGTGGATGTCTAGCTAGACTGGCTCGGGTGCAAGCGGAAAGATCGTCACTTACCATAACTGGCTGCACCTTCATTGATCTTTCATACTTAGATAATTTTTGACCCAGAACATCACTTAAAAACTTCTGGATCTCGCTCATCGGAGGTGGATGTCTAGCTAGACTGGCTTGGGTGCAAGCGGAAAGATCGTCACTTACCACAACTGGCTGCACCTTCATTGATCTTTCATACTTAGATAATTTTTGACCCAGAACATCACTTAAAAACTTCTGGATCTCGTTCATCGGAAGTGGATGTCTAGCTAGACTGGCTCGGGTGCAAGCGGAAAGATCGTCACTTACCACAACTGGATGCACCTTCATTGATCTTTCATACTTAGATAATTTTTGACCCAGAACATCACTTAAAAAGGATAAAAACATCAATAATCTCTACAAGCAGCCTTTGGATAATATCAAACGAAACAAATCAATAAAGAATATCATAAATAAGATATTGTGATGGTTTTCACATAAAAATTCAAGAAATACACAGTTTTATCAAGCAGTAAATTTGCTATTATTTGGAGTTATCAAACCTCCTCACACTAAACATTTGTTCCTCCTCAAACAGACTCAATTTCATGAATAGAGAGTTAACTCGTTCAAGGCAGTGAAGTATTGGATAAGATCAATGACATGGTTGTGAATAAAGTAAATCTCAAGTAATTGATCATTAAGCATTCAAAACTTGTCAATCTAATTTAACATGATTAAGCTATTCAGGTATAATCCACTTTGCTCGCTTGGAAGGGATTTTTTTGGATAAGGTGACCTTCAGTCGAAAGGCACATGTCTTTTCTTTTTGCTTCGCTCATTATATTTCGCGATAGATCACGAAGTTTTAAATATTGTGTCTGCTTGTGACTTTATTTACTTTTGGCAAAATTGTCAATAACTTCCCTGTGGTTTTGAAATTCAACGTAAATTCCCCGTTACTTTAAAAATTGCATGGCGCCACCTTATACTTTTAAAAATATTGCATGAAAACCCTTTTTATATTTTTGTGTGAAAGAAGATTTCCTATCTATAAAATTTACACGGTGGGGGGTTTCATGCAATATTTTTAAATGTATAAGGTGGAACAATGCAATTTTTAAAGTATAAGAGAATTTACGATAAGTTTTGAAACCACATGAGAGTTATGAGCAATTTTGCCTTTAACTTGTTATCCCAACTATAGGCCTTTTCAGTCCTTTTAATAATAATTCCTCCCCACCTTTCTTACATCGCTTCTCAAACAATATTTAAAGACTTCTTACTTCAATGTCATCTTATATAAACTAAGTCGATAGAAAAAAATTTGTTTGCCCTACTAAGTATGGAATAATTGAAACGAAAGAGGCACTAACCTTTTCAAGTCATACCAATAGTTACTTGGTTTAACTCAATATTCACATTATTGACAAAGTTAAAGAAAAAATTATTAAGTTCAACGCTTGCAAGTAATCTAACTTTACTCTAAAATATATCAAAAGCCTAGCTCAACAATATATTAAAAGAATTTAGAGTAATTACACATGCTTGTAATTATAATAGGCATCAGTATTGATAAATTCAACTTGTTACCAAAATTGGTCGTGTCATTGATCATAAAAAAAAATTGTACATGCCCGTCATTCTTTAACAAAAATTGCTAGTAGCTGGGGAAAGGACTCTCGCAGGCCATCTTTACATTAATCATCTGAGAGCCCTCTTTCTAGCTTTCCATAGCCATCTAGGACACGCTGCAACTTCTCATGAACCTTCTTCTGATGCTTGACCATACCCAAGTTTTGCTCATCCAAAAAAATAGCATTTTGGCTGGTCAGCGCTGCATTACTCCTGAGTAGCTCATTCTGACCTTGCATTACGCTTTCCAGCATTTGCCCCATTGCTGCAGCTTTAGCTTTAGCTTCTAACTTGGTCACTCTAGCGTATGTGGAAGCAGCAATATGCAGGATCTGAGCGGTGCTAGCTTCCATTGCAGTATTCTTTGATTTCCCTTTGCTAAGGGCCAATCAATTCTTTAACACCTTTTTAGTCATAAATTGATTGAATGCGAACTCGCTGGTCAGCATCTCAGGCATTTGATCCAGTCTTTCCTCAAGAGATTTGAATGCTGCTTGAGGTTCAGAAGTGCTTGCCTTAGCAGCCTCTGGTGATTGTCGATGAGAGTTGGATGAACCGCTGTCCACTGGTTATTCGTGTTATTTTTTCTTTGGCTCAGGTAATAGTTCCAGGGTGGCTTCCTTCAGCACTATCATTTGGTGCTCTGCTTCATACTCCTTATGTTCCCTCTCCACTTTCACAGTTTGGAAATATCCGCTTGAATCACCGTTGGAGTTGAGTCAATGGCTTCCACCATTTCAACAATTTAACCAAAACCTTCATTGCCTTCCACTTTCTTCGGTCGTGCTGCTATTCCTTCTCCAATCTCTCTACTTCAGCGAGCATCCAAGCTTTCTTTTCATTAATTTCCCTTTCCCCCTCATCATCCTCATCTTCAATTATTCTTCAGTCAGATTTCGCTGAGGGCGGAGTTAAGGTATTCGCCGGTTACACTTCCTTAGGAGTTTGGGGGTTGTACCTGATTGTCTCTTCTTCGCTTGCCCCCAGGATTGTTTTCTCTGCAGCTCTTGGCGACACCTGCATTATGGGTAACGTTGTTATCACTGCTTCAACTTTGGTGGTTTCATTGACAGGTTCAGTGGTGGTAGCATTGGGGATCTCAATGGCTTAGACTTTGAAAGTCTAAACGGTCACGTCGATGCCATTGATATTTTCGTCAGTCAAAATAGTCTTCCGATCCTTTGGTCCAGCAGCAGCTGGCTCGCCCATCCCCCACTGGTTAAAAAGAATGAATCATCGCCTATTGGACTTATTTGGCGCAACGGAGTAGTGTCCTTCGGCTAGCTAGTTGGGATATTTGCTTGGGTGATCTCTCAACTTGGGCAGAGGGTTCTCTTATGGAGATCCCATTTCCTAGGCGGTACAGTGGGATCTCATCATCCTTGTTTTTCTTCAACGCTTTACCCTTCCTTTTCTCCTTTCTCGTGAGCCTGGCGGCCATCATCTTCACCCTCAGCTTCTTAGTTGTTGGCTCCGGAGTGAAATCATCCACTAGCTTTGACCTTTTTTCTCTCTTCTCTCCATCGGCTGCTTTCTCCTTTTCCGCTTCTTTTCTTCCTTTATCACTTATGGTCACTCATTTCCCCTGGCCATTTTCTTTCTTTCCTCCGTTTCCCGAGCCTAGCTCACAGTAGCCTCCTCCTTATTGGCTTCCGAAGCTTCATCAGACATAATTGTCTCTGAGTGTGGGCCAGCGATGGCCTTGTCTAGTTTTTCTTCCGGTGAGCGGACCAACTCCTCCCCCACAACTTTTATATTTTTCTTTGGAGGCTAGACAAAGACGGTCACCTTCTTCTTCCTCTTCTTCTAATTTGGGATTGGGCTGAACCCCTTGTCCTCCAACTATTTTTATGAAACACAACTGGTTGTTGTGGTTCCATTGTAAGTTCAGCGGTTGGAGCAGGCAGATCCGTACCTGCTTTTCTACACAACTTAGTAATCAAGGTCCCATGACCTAATGTTCGATCAATCTTTGAGCGGGCCCATATGTTCATGCAGATGATGGCTCTCAAATCAATGTCAGCCTTTTTCTCCAAAACTGAGTGCAACACCACTAGGAATTCGGGCTTGATATCGAATGTGTGAGAAGTAATCATTTTTTGCTCAACGATCATTTCACCAATTCCTTATTATCATTGTCTACCGATGCCATCTTCAAATTTCTTTTTTCACACATGGGAGTGGTGGCAAATGTGGTGTACACGACTGCAGCTCCATCGAGTTGAACTTCTCAACTGCTTCCAACTTGGTCTTCATTCCCCCATCACATAGTGGAACAACCATTCGAGAACTCGATTGATTTTCCTTGCAGAACAATCTATCCATGTCCCTTAGACATAAACATTATTGGGGTTTTCTACTTGCTCGAGGTTTCCGTAAAATTCCCTCATCAGCGAGACATCCACTAATTCATTGAGATTTTGAATCACCAAAGACAGGCCTCTTTTTTCAATCCAATCCTTGAGTTGGCCTTGAATTGTCTCGGCAGCGAACCCTATCTCATACACTATCTTCATACCCTTCGTCCGCTCATAGTTGTCCGTTACTTTCTAGTTGACCAAGTGAAACTTGTTGCAGTCTGGGTTAGATTCAATAGTAGCGGTAGCTTCTGCAGTAACTTTCTTGGTTGAAAGTGTGTGCTCTATAAATAAGGAAAGGCTCATATGGGGCAGTTTACAAAGCTCGGGATAGAAGGACCTCAGAATTAGTTGCTATCAAAGTGATCTCCTTATCTGAAGGGGTATGCTTATAACCTGTTATCAATATATATATATATATTTTACTATAGAATATTCTAAAATGATATGCTACACCTGTACAGGAAGAGGTATATGAAGAAATTCGTGGTGAAATTGAGATGTTGCAGCAATGTAGTCATCCTAATGTTGTTCGCTATCTTGGGAGCTACCAAGGAGAAGAATTTCTCTGGGTATGAGAAAGAGCGAGTATTTATACCCACTTAATTTGTGTAAAACGTTGACCAACGCTGGGAATCAGAGGATGAATGTTGGATTCATGTTGCGTCAAACATTCTAAAAAATTCTACTCTTTTTTTCTTCGCAGATAGTAATGGAGTACTGTGGAGGTGGAAGTGTCGCTGACTTGATTAATGTCACTGATGAGCCTCTTGAGGAGTATCAAATAGCATATATATGCAGAGAAGCATTGAAGGTAGCAATATTATATAGCTAACTAAATTCTTGGCTGACTATTGTCTGTATTATGAGCAGTAGCTGCCAAAATGTTGGTGCATCTTGTTTCAGGGGATAACATTTCGGGGAAAGTCTGCAGACTGCATTTAATTTATAATTTGAATTTGGTTCTTTGAAGTTATGTCCTTTATGTTACTGCTCCTCTCTTGCGTTAAAAGTTAAACATGGTGTTTTTTGCTGCTTATATCTGTTAACGAAGAAAGTTATGATTGTGGTGAGGGTTGATTCATACACAAACATTCAATGTTTATATTTGTTTGACTGCTTCTTATGTTCAACCTCCCATGCAGGGTCTGTCGTATCTGCATTCAATTTTCAAAGTACATAGAGATATTAAAGGTGGTAATATTTTGTTGACTGAGCAAGGAGAAGTTAAATTGGGTAAGTCATATTATGATGATTCTGTGACAGTTGCATTCACCACATTGTCCTAAAATTTTGCACCAGAGGGGTCAGAGGCACTTTGCCTGTTGGTTTGACCATGAGAGTCAGTTAGGAAGGATATGTTGAATTCATAATTGATTTCCTGCAATATTGATTTGATATTCATACAATCGCCTCTAAGAGCCAAAAACAACTACAAGTGATTTTAGAGTTGCTGCACAGTTGACGAGAACTATGTCCTAGCGTAACACGGTAAACTTATTTCTTTACACTAGCCTACCTGATCATGAGATTGGTTTTATTTCTTCTTTCTCTTCATTTCTTGGCCATCAGATATCAAACGATTGTTCTTCGCTAAAATTGCATTTGGTTTAATATTTGCTTCAGCTTGCAGCACATCTGATGCATACCTATTCTGGACTAATTTCTTGATTCATTTTAATTGGAAGGATGGCTAAAATTTTGAAGCACTGTGTATAATTGGAATTGGAAATTGTAAAAGAATATGTAAATTTAACATCAACTTGATTTTGTGTCGTACTTTTTCCACTGAAAGATCAATCTTAGCTCTTTTTAAATGAATGCTATATGACAATAGATATATATATAATGGGGCCTCATTTTTCTATCCAAATCCTTTAATCGGCTACAAATTTTAGTTTTTAGAGTTTATTTTCATCGCAAGTTCTTAATATATTATATATACACATACATAATATATATGTATATTTTGTTTTGTCTTTTTAGTTCATTGGAACCCCACATTGGATGGCTCCTGAAGTTATTCAAGAAAGTCGTTATGATGGAAAGGTATATCATTTGTCCGTCTGGTTACTCTTTTGTGGAACTAAAATTCACACATGTAAAGTCTTAAATTTTATATTTCATACTCAGGTATATCATTTTCTGAAATATTAGGGTGTGCTTGGTTTAAGATTGGAGTTGAAGTTTTGATTTGAGTTTTGGTTTAAATATTATTTTGATGTGATGTTTTGTGAGAGGAAATAATGTAATTTTATCGGGAATTGTGTGGGATGAATAGTGAAATTTTGGTTTTGAAACCAAAAACCAAACAAACCCTTACTTTTTTCATTTATTTCTCAGGTAGATGTGTGGGCTCTTGGAGTGTCTGCAATTGAAATGACAGAGGTATGCTCATCAATTTGCTCTGGTTTCATGGAAATTTATTTTTACCTCATTCTAGCAGGTGCCAAGCTAAATTGGTGACTGTTGAACATATTTTTCCAGGGAGTTCCTCCGAGAGCAACTGTTCATCCTATGAGAGTAAGTATCATTTTGTCTTTATCTCACTTGTTTCTTACACTAGTTTGTGCTTCTATCTGCATATCTTGTCATAGTAATCTATGCAAAGACTCCATTGATGCATATCTTGTGTCAAAGTGAATCAGTATGGTCTAATTCTGAGTTATTAATGTGTTTGTGGAGTCCTGGTTGTTTCCATGATCAGCCATTGTTTGCCTAAACCTTTGTTATTATTTTTTTGGGTATGTGTGTGATGAAATATACACACTGAGAACCCTGCCAAGATGTGGAATGCTTCTGAGTTTTGAGAAATGAAAATCCATTTACTTTCCATTCTCCCATATGATTGTTTTGGGGTGCCTATGTTGCGATATTCTTTGCATCCATGCAGTGTTTTGTGATCTGCTTGGCTTGTCATTTTAATTATGTATTTCACAATTTGCATTAAAGAAGTTAAAAAATCTCTTGGCATGAAATTCATTATTGGCTGGTTCTATCAACTCTCATCCCGAGCAAACATCAACAACCTTCCTTCCGTCAATGGATAAAATCCTCTGAACTCTCCTTTCGATTTTTTTCTCAATATTGTCAGAATCCGTCCTCACACTGTCGCTGACTAGCTTCCTTATATCGGCTGATGAACATCCTATGACTTTTCCAATTCAGTTTTAAAACCAAAGTGTAGATAGGACAAACTCAAACCTGCACTATCAATTCAAAATTGACAAGCAATTAAGAAACTATGATGAAATATTCTTAATCTAGCTGATTTGAACCATATTCCCTCATCTCACAACGAGCCAAAGACCTTCACAGAGAGTTTCGTTCTGATAAAGGGTAAAAATCATGAATCTCATTTTCTAACCATATAACTTGCCAAGTTAAATAATAGAAAGCTAGGAAATCCATTATTATATCTAAGTCTTAGATTCACTTAAAATCAAGTTTCACAACTTCCTCAAAAATTCGAAGAACAGTGAGTTTTTGCAAAGAATAATTTTTTAATCTGTGCTATTGGGTGTGAAATCAGTTTGAATCAAAGAAGAAAAGTATTAATTAGACCTTGATAAACCTAGATCTTACCTCAGATTCTCGTAAAATTAGCTTAAAGGACTTCGAAGTTTGAACTTGGATTCATTGAAAAAATGAGGTTTCTAAGACTTCTTGAGAAAGTTACTGCTACGGTAAATTTGAGAATGACTGAGTGGGAGATATTTATAGGGGAGAGGTGCTCACTCGTTGGTGGACTTCTGAAGCAGGCAGTGAGTGGGTTGGTCACTACTCTGATAGTCCATTGTGTTATTATATTATTATAAAGGCGTAAGGGTGGGTTACTTGTACGGGATGAGCGGGTAAAAATAGACTCCTAAAAAAATCCTACATGTGACCAGAGAAGCGGTGGGTAAATAGTACTAGACGAGCAAGAAATTCTCCTCCAACATATATCAGAATGAAACAAGTGGGATTGAAGGATGGTTGGGGTCAAACTCAGACTTAGAGGATTTAAAATCTAACTAGGTTATTCTACAAAAATGGGGATAACTTAGTAAATCATAATCTATTAGAGCAACTAAATTCTATTTAGCAAAAGTGACCAACTAATCTATAAGAAAACAGTAAACTAATCCTATAAAAGCGGTAACGTATACTAGTCTAATTATCAAGTCCTAAAGAAAAACGGTAAGGTGCCCGCTGACAAGCGGGAGTTCTGCCTACTACCACAAAACTTAACTAATCTAGGAAAACGGTAAAGCCATTGCTGATGAGTGATAGGTCTAATTAAGAAAACATCAATTCTACCTAAGTAAGCGGGAATCTAACCTATAAAAGTTGTAAGTTATTCTAGAAAATTATAAAATATTAAAATAGATATAAGTTTTCAGTCTTTCTCAATTGACTAGGAAAGAATCTTTTACCCTTGAGGAATCCACATCGTTGATTTTTATGGCTCCGTTTGGTAGAACTTGTCTGACTATATCAGCCTAGTCCACCTCGATTTCAATTTCCTTGGAAATAAGTGAAGTCTAGAATCATACAGTAAAACCTTTGTACTCTCAATGAATTCTTTCTTTTTCAATTTCCTGTCATGATAGAATTTTGTCATTTTCTTATATAACTTGGCGTTCTCATATGCAAGATAACGGAACTTTGTTAAGTCTAGTACACGAGTAGTGCACTTTTCTTGGGCTGGCAGAAGATTAATATTCAAATACTTAATGGCTCAGTGGCTGCGATGTTTGAGTTTTAGCGGAAGATGGCTACCTTTTCCATATACAAGCCGATAATATGACATCCCAATTGGCGTCTTGAAGGCTATTTTGTATGCTCACAGTGCATCGTCCAATTTCTTAGCCCAGTTCTTGCGACTTTTGTTTATTGTGGTCTGGAGGATATGCTTGATTTCTCCATTCCAAACCCCCACTTGACCGTTAGCTTGCGGATGATATAGAGTAGTTAGATGTTGGCGGACACCATCTTGCTGAAGATAGACCTGCGGTGCCTTATTCACAAAATGGGTGTCTTCATCACTGATGATAGTCTTGAGGATTCCAAACCTTGGAGACAGAGTATACTTGAGGAAGCGGATAATTGAGCGGGAATAATTAGTAGGGAGCACTTGCGCTTCAACCCACTTGCTCACATAATCCACAACCGCTAAAATGTAGAGTTTCTCATTGGAGTTCCGAAATGGTCCTATAAAATTTATTTCCCAAACATCGAATATGTCAACAAACACAATTCCAGTCTGAGCCATCTCATCTCTATTCGAGATATAGCTTAATCTCTGACATTTGTCGTAAGCTTTGGCAAAGGCATCAACATATTTCTGTAGGGTTGGCCAACAAAAGCTAGACTACAAAACTTTGGCAACTATCCGCTAGCCTGCGAAATGCCCTTCTACATAGGATCCGTGACAATCATCCAATATCAGCGGGATCTCTGATTCAACAACAATGACGAATAATCCCATCTGAGCCGATATTGAACAAATATGGCTCATCCCAAAGAAGACACTTATTTTCCCTTTGAACAATATGATTGGGAAATTGTCCAGTAGCCAGAAAGTTAAGCAGGTTTGCAAACCATGACTCCTCACTTTGCACACGGAATAATTTCTTATCAGGAAAAAATTCATTTATACCTAGGGATGTGCCCTCTGGATGTCGTAGTCTACTAAGGTGATTTGCTATAAAATTTTCGTTCCTTTTTTTGTCCTCAATCTCTATATCGAATTCCTGGAGCAGCAGAACCCAACGGATCAAAAGGGGGTATTTGTCTCATTTTTCTCCATAAAATATTTAATAGCTGCACGATTTGTATGGACTATGGTCTTGCTCCCGATCAAGTACTGTATGAACTTCTCAAAAGCAACGACAATGACTAGCAACTCATTTTCAGTTGTAGTGTAATTCCTCTAAGCGGAGTCCAACGTCCTACTGGCATAATAAATTACATTCAGCTTTGACTCCATCTTTTGGCCCAGAATAACACTGACGGTATAATCGCTCGCATCCGTCATCAGTTCAAAGAGCTCGCTCCGCAGTAGTGCTGAGATGATAGGGGCACTGGTAAGCTTTTCTTACATAATCTGGGATGCCTCCTTACACTGGCTTGTCCATGCAAACTTTGCATCTTTGCACATCAGTGCGGCTAGAGATTGATTTATTTTGCTAAAGTCTTTAATAAATCTTCTGTAGAAACCAGCGTGGCCAAGGAAATTTTGCACAACCTTCTCATAGGCGCTATCATCTTTTGGATTACACTTACTTTGGATCTGTCCACCTCAATTTCGGTAAGCGAGATTTTATGGCTGAGAACAATTCCTTCATTTACCATCATGTGACACTTCTCCCAATTCAACATGAGATCATTCTCAATGCAGTGGAGGAAACCTTATCCAAGTTGCTCAGGCATTTGGAAAAGATCTTGCCATATATTGAGAAATCATCCATAAAAACTTCAATGCAAGAGTCAATGAGATCGCTAAAGAATGGTACATGCATTGTTGGAAGGTGGTTGGGCATTGTAAAGCCGAAACGGTATCTTCTTGTAAGAAAAAGTACCATATGAATAAGTAAAAGTAGTTTTCTCAGAGTCCTCCGGCTTGATGGGAATCTGATGGTAGCCTGAGTAGCCATCGGAAAAACAGTAATATTTATGACCAACTAACTTTTCAAGTCATTGGTCAAGGAATGACAGCGAGAAATGATCATTCTTTGTGGTAGCATCGAGTTTCCTGTAGTCAATGCAGACTCTTCATTCAGTGATAGGTCTTGTCATAAAGACCTCTCCTTAATCTTATGTTTGTTCGATATATCCTCATTTCTTGGAGACTACCTGGGTTGGGCTGACCCATTGGTTGTCGCTGATGGTGTAAATAATACCTGCATTAAAAAGCTTGATTACCTATTTCTTTACTATCTCTTGCACATTTTCATGTAGGCGTCGCTGAGGCTGTCTACATGGCTTAGCTTTGGCATTCAGAATGATATGGTGCAAACACACTGCTGGCCTAATGACTTTAATATCTTATATATTCTATGCAAAAGTCGTCTTTCTTTTCTTGAGTAGAGTTAAAAGCTGAGCATTTTGGTCCGGAATAAGTGAAACATAAATTATATCCGGGTAAGTCTCCTCCAACCCCATAATTGGCAACTTCTTCAGCTTCTTCTTTGGTGTAGACTCACTCTCTAGCTTCCACTTGGCTCGTTCAATGGACTCATGTGTGTGGATATCTCACTGTTTGGCTCGTCTGAGTCCTTCAACAGCCCCAGCTTAAGTGAGTCTTTATCTAATTTTTTTTTTTTTGTATAAATCCAGCGTTAACACATTCTTAAGAGTATTTAATTCATTTAATTCAAAGACATAATTATCATTCTCATTTGTGGCTGGCTTAACGCTCCACCTATGCTCGGTGTGATTTCGCCTTGAGCTATGTTGATATTAGCTTGAGTGGTGGCAATGATAGGTTTTTCCAGAATTATTGGAATGTTGCGATCCTTGCTCATTTCCATTATTATAAAATCTGCAGGAAAAATAAATTTATTCACTAATCCCTTTTGGGAGTCTTTAATTTATCTAAAACTTGTATTATACTACGGCATGACTCAAGCTCATACAACCCTAACTTAATGAAAAAAGAAAAAGGCATAAGATTGATACTAGCTCCTAAATCGCATAATTCCTTAATCGGCTCAGATTGCCTATAGTACAAACATAAAACTCTCAGGATCGCTCAACTGCTTTGGGAGGTCCTTTGTGAACATCGTGCTGCACACTTTATAGCTGAACAACCACAACTACTTCAGAAATAGTAGCTAGTATCA